ACTTTGTGCGTAGTAGCTTTTGCCATTGAAATGATATATATATATGAGACGAATGGAATTTGGCTACTTCTTTAAAGCAAAGCACGGGCGGGGCGTGTGCCAACTGTTGTTCTCTAGACCACTAGCCATTGGTGGTCTAAAAAATGGATAATGCCTTCTGATGAAGGGCAATTAAGTCATTACGCATGTTACGGCCCATGATAATTACCCTTCTTTGTAGTGGGTGCCTAAGTTAGGCTGCGTGACTGTAGTTGATGCTGATGAATTTGGATAACTTGTTTTCTTCGCTGGAGTCGTATAGACGTACATTTTCTTTTTCGGAATTTTAGAAAATAAATACTACGCTGATTAGCACTTAAATACCTTTTCATTTTTCCCTACTTCGGCACTTATGCATATCCTCGATCTCTTGATTTTTTTTGGTAACAGTGTACATATACCCTAAATTTTTAAACCCTGCACTTTGGTACCTTTTGTTATGCCAACATTAGGGTATTTTAAAGAAATTCTTATGTGACACTCACACGCCAGCATTTGAATATTTAGACCTTTTTTTTTTGTTGCTAAATTTACCATAAACCTACATTAATTCTAATTTAAACACACCACGATTCCGTTTTAAAATAAAGTTTAGAATATGTTTATCAAAGAAACTACATTAACAAAATTAAGGGCTAAAATACTCTAAAATAGGCACGTGGGAAATATTCTTAATTTTGTATAACATAAGGTACGCTTTAAGATATATAAATGTTGCCAAAATAAGTACGGATATATTAGTGCAAAGTGGGACAAACTCTAAGGTGTTTATTGCTAATTGTTCTAAATATCTTCCAACTTCCCCAGACTTTCTTTAATCCAATTTTTTTTCTCCCCACTCTCTTGTGTGAATACACCCATGTAGAATTATAATGAAAGGATATTGATATAACTTTGAAGACCATGGTGTCCAAACCGCCTACCATATGGAAAAGGTTGCAGAAGGTGAGAAGGACCGATCACCTAACCTAAAACCCTGTGATAGTAGTTTTTGTTAGAATCAGATATAAGAAAGAAAATAATTGATGGGAAACAATTATGGTAAAAATCAATTAAGTATATGTGGATTGTGGAATCGATCATCGATGCAAATGAGGTCCGCTGACAGCTTAAAGTTGGGATCAGCTCAGAAGGCCCTATCTTTTGGGCTGTGCCTGGGCCTGATGTAGGTGTATTATTTCCGATTATATTTGCGATTGGGCTGTACGGGAGGGGCTGTCTTGAGTACTTTTCTTCTAAGGGCATTGTTTTTTATTTTAAGTTATTCTTGCTTAACAATTAATTTTTTAAGGCTAAACAGATGCATTTACAAAACATAAAAAGAACTAGATAACTTTTTTACAAGGTTAAACCCATGCATTAACAAAACATAAAAAGAAGTAGATAAAAGAAATATCTTCCAAGATGATGAAGTAAGAAGTGCCGAAAGTGAAACATTTTTTTATTTCATAAATTTTTGGAAGTAATGAAAATCATACTTCTCCCTCTTTATTCACTTTTTTTGTTTGTTTCATAAAGTTTTGAAAATAGGAAGAGAGAAAGAGGATCTTTTGAGATTTTATTTATTTAAAATGAATAATTTTCATATAATAAAACAGCTAAGTTTATTCATAAAATGGGGTAGATTTTAGAGCTTGAGGGGTGAGAAAATATTTAAGAAGTAGAGGTGCTACATGGGCGTCACATCGTCATCTACTCATCTATATAAATGAGAAAACCCAAGATTTACTATTCATGCTATAGTAAACGCTACAATATTATTTAATGTAGCATCATTATTGTAGCAACATGAAATTGGATACTGTACCTTTTTAAAAATACTATAGCGCATGGGAATACTGTAGTAATTCAAAAATTCAAGAAATACTGCAACATTTAAAAGCGAGATTACCGTAGCAGGGGGGAAAATATGGCATGCTTTGTACGGTGTTCACACTAGTTTAAAAAATAACAGAAGTAGCAATTCAATGGAAACAAACACATTTTTTTACTTGAAAGTAGCAGAAATAACTTCTACTTTCTTAATTTAACTACTTGATAGCTAATTCCTTGCAAATAAGTTGAGAGTCAATTATAGTATGAGCAACAAGATAATCAGGCACCTCTTCCATCCAACTAGTTGTATCATCCTTGATATGTTAAATATACATTTTGAGTAAAGTGAGATTTTAATTTATTGAATGCAAATTTTTAAAATGGATTAAGGAAGGCATTCAAGGTGGTTTAAACTTGTTAGCCGTTCAAAGTAAAGGGTTTAACCATCCTTAGGTATGCTCGGAATGAACTTCTTGGTTTATAAAGAAGGTAATTTTTATCTAACAGATTAGTTAATTTTATCAACTTGAAATGGATTAACAGCTAATACGGAAACAAGTAATGTTTTTGCGGATCTTGCACGCATCATGATGGCTACCGAACCCTGACTTGAACTTGAAGAACGACGAACAGTATCGTGCAATTAGATCGAGGAAATGATGGAGACTCAATTTGTCAAATAAGGATTTTATCAGAATACCATATAGAAAGAAGTGATATATACCATTCACGTATTGCCAAACGATTAGTGTGGAGATTACAACACTTCTATTTATAGTGTAGATCACCCTATTCCTACAGGGATGGTTATGATAAAATCTACACTGTAGTTTGTCTTTGTGCACGAGCAATAAATTTACCGGGGTTGGGACCCAAATATTCTCAAAATCATATTGACTACATAACATAACGTACAACTTAAAAAAAATAATATAGATATAAGCTTGGACGACTAACATGACCGAAGGTTTTTTTTATTTTTTTTATTTTAAATAAACAACAAGCGTGTTTGTTTTTGAAATTAAAATTAAAAAAGGAAATTTTAAAAAACTGGCCTTTCACAAAAATACATGAATCTGAATAACCAACGATCCAACCAGAAATCATACTCCATTTAAAAGTACGAGTTTGAGAAAAACTTTTAGTAGACAAAAATACTCTTAAAATTCAAATACTAATCCATTAAGTAAGAGGAATTTGATAAATTAATGAATTCTTATTGGATATACATAGTATGAAGATAAGGATATAGTCTAAATTGAAATGTAAACTTGAATGAAATTATTAAATACCAAATTTATAAATATATACAAGATGAATGGCGTATATGCAAAAAACAAGCAAATTAGTCAGACAAATAATGTCCGCCCCAGAGATCGAACACCAGAACTACGCAGACCTACAAATGTACATAATATGGACCGATTATTTGCAAAATCCACCAAACAAATTAAAGAGACAAAATCATTCTGAAAATTATAAAAAAGAAAAATTAAAACAAGCGGCTACGATATGAGGACACAACGTGACATTTCTCACCAACTAAAATTCAAGTAATTCACAATACTGCATAAATAGTTTTAAAGTTTAATTATACTATTATTATTTAAATAGAACTCTATTTATAATTGTTATCCTCTCACATGCAACATCACATACCAATGTTTATAAGCCAATAAACTACAACAATTTCCGTAGCACTTTCATCTCCTTCTACATGTATATACATTTGTTATTTTCTTCTTATTAGATTATATTAGATTATTTTAAAGCAATTAATTATATTATATATTTATTTATTTATTTCATATCAAGAAATATCAACAATTTTCCTAGCATTTTTATCTATTTTCTTCTTATTAAATTAGATTAGATTATTTAAAGCAATTAATTATATTGTATATTTGATATTTTTTAGATAAAATTTTACAATAATTTTTATAGCACTTTCATCTCCTTCAACAGGTGTGTGCCTTTGTTTTTTTTTCTTCTTATCAGATTAGATTAGGTTGTTTAAAAATTATGAATTATGAAATTATAATAATTTTCACATTATTTTCATCTATTTTCTTCTTATTACATTAGATTAGATTATTTTAAAGCAATTACTTATATTGTATGTTTGGTCTTTTTATTCAAATCACATAGTTTAATTATACCATTATTATTTAAATAGATACTGTTTGTATAAAAATCAAAGAGAATCTCACACATATCTTAAATCTCAATGTCAATTGTAATATTTATACATGGGTGTTGGTTAAAACAAATTTCATCTATGAGTTTAACTTATATAATCCTACTTTAACAGGATTAGATAATTTTATTTTTTTAACATCCAAACTCTTTCACAAAACCAAAAGAGAGTATCAATGTTATAGCTATATATATCTACAGGACCACAGATATCTTGAAAATGAACAAAGAAAACCATACAACCAAAAACCATATTAATTACTCACACGCACCCACTATTTTTAAAATCACCATTCTCCATCTCCATCTATTATAAATCTACATACCAAATTAAGCTGCTGAAGATTCTCCTCACCAGCTACACCATTGATCAACCCTCATTTTCCTTTGTACTTAAATTGTATAACATTCATTGCGATGATGACTCACATGGGTCCTCAGCCTGCCTTGAACGCCCAACAAAAAAATGCACCAAGCCTTATAGTTAGTTAATAATGAGATCCTATCATTATAAACAAACTAAGTAAAGATTAATAATTTTTAAGAATGTACTACATTCATTTATCTTCCACTGCAAACTTGTTAGTTATTTATTCTTACACCCAAAGGATTTTAAAAATTAATCATCTATTTCATAAAAAAAAAATTAAAATGTTTAAATAAAATTTATTGCAAATGTAATAATACATTTTTATAGATTTTAACTCAAAATGAATCTGACTTATTTTATAGTAAGAAAAAAAAAATACAACGTGCATTGCACGTGCACAAGAACTAGTGTGACCAAATATCGGGTGTGGGCATTTTAACTACATAGTTAATATTTATTAGCAGGCTTTTGATGCTGAGCAGCGAGTAGCAGCGAAGTTGTAAGTGGATCATTCAGATTCGACCCGAATGCAACCCGTTAAGACCCTCGACGTTACTAGCTTCACGCCGCGTCCCTCGCGGTCGACGAGCAGAAATGAGGTTTCCCCCTCAAAAATCTAGAAATTATTCTAAAACCCTAGTTTTTTCAAACCTAGTTAAGCTCGGCATCACCCCATCCACCAAAACCCTAAACCTCTTCCTCTCTTTCCTCCTCAAATCTCAAAAACCCAATCTCTTGCTCCATCTCTTCTCCCAAATATCCTCAAATTCCATCAAAATCAACTCCAAAACCTGCTCCTTAGTTGCTCAATCCCTCCTTGAGCTCCACCAATTTGAAGCTGAAGAAATCACCTCCTGCGCCGAAAGATTCAATTTTGTTCTGAAAAGAGGAATTTGGAACTCTGTCATCCAATGTATCTGCGTCAAAGAAGAAAACCCAGAAAGGGCATTCTCTATACTGAGCCAGTGCATCGAAAATTACGGTATTTTTCCTTCTTCCGCAACTTTTCGACCTTTGGTTTTGAAATTTAGCTCTCAGGGTAAGATGGAGAGAGCAATTGAGGTGTTGGAGCTGATGAGAAGTGAAAAGTTTGGATACACATTTGATAATGTGATATGTAGTTCTGTAGTTTCGGGGTTTTCTAGGATTGGGAAGCCGGAATTGGGGCTAAAGTTTTATGAGGAAGCTGAGAAAGCAAATGGGTTTAAGCCCAATTTGGTTACTTGTACAGCGATTGTCGATGCATTGAGAAAAAAAGGTAGGATTGATGAAGCTCGCGAGTCTGTTCGCCGAATGGAGGATAAAGGAGTGGTTTTGGATGCAGTTTTGTATAGTAGTTTGATATGTGGGTACTTTAAGAAAGGGATTTCGACGGAGGGACTTCGAACGCATAGGTTGATGGTGGAGAAAGGAATAGCTCCAGATGTTGTTAGCTACACTAATCTCATTGATGGTTTGTGTAAAGAAGGCAGCGTTGAGAAAGTGATTGGGTTCTTGGATGCGATGGAAAAGAATGGAATGAAACCTAATTTGATTACTTATACCATTCTTTTGCAGGGCTTTTGCATGAGAGGCAAGTTGGAGGAGGCATTTTGTGTTCTAAAGCGAATGGAAGAATTCGGTTTGGTTTTAGATGAGTTTGTATTTGCCATTTTTATTGACGGGCTATGTAGGAAAGGGGATGTAGATAGAGTTTTTAGTTTGCTTGAAGAAATGGAGAGGAAAGGAATCAAAGTGGGATCAGTTACGTACAATACAGTGATAAATGGTTTGTGTAAATCTGGAAAGACTAGCAAAGCAGACGAGATATCAAGAGGTTATTTTGGCGATAATTTTACATATAGTACATTACTGCAGGGTTACACAAAGGAAAAAGATGTGGATGGAGTGATGGAGACTAAGAGGAGATTGGAAGAAGCTGGTATTTGTAAAGATGTTGTGACATTTAATGTACTAATCAAAGCTCTATTCATGGTCGGTATGATTGAAGATGCTCGTGTACTTTTCAAAGAAATGCCTAATATGGGAGTGATTGCAAATTCTGTTACTTATTGTACAATGATTGATGGGTTATGTAAAAAAGGAGAGATGGAGGAGGCACTAGAGGTATTTCAGGAATATAGGAGGATTTTCCCACTTCTAGATGCTGCTTCTCCTGTTTGTATTATTAGAGGGCTATGTAAAGAGCATATGATGGAAATGGCTACTGAGGTGTTTAAAGAATTTGCTGCAAAGCATCTTGTTTCTGACTCGATTACTTATAGGAATTTGATCAAGGCTCAGTTTAGAGCAGGTAATGGAGAAGGAGTTTTGAAGTTTATTCATGCAATTGATGAGGTTGAACCTGAATTGCTGACTTCAATATGCAATGATGCATTGATATTCTTGTGTAGAAAAGGAAGCTTTACAGCTGCACTGGCTGCTTGCATATTCATGAGAAGAAAGCGCTTGTCAGTTACAAGCAAATCATATTATGTTCTTCTCAAATGCCTCATTCGCAGTGGAAATAAACTAATTACTGAACTAGTAATGTGCGACTGCATTAAAGTAAATGGACCTTTCGAACCGAGGATGATAAATATTCTGTCCCTTTACCTGTGCAAGAAAAATGTTGAAGAAGCTGTGAGCTTTCTAGCTGACAAAAACAAAAAAGATGTTAATGTTAGCGTCTTGACCGCAACGGTTGATGCTCTTAAGAAAGAGGGCAGATCTATGGATGCGCTTAATTTTCTCATGGATGCTCAGCGCAATGGAGCTGTGATAGATGTTGTTGTCTGCTCTACCGTAGTGGATGGTCTTTGCAAGGAAGGACGTATTGAGAAGGCATTGGATCTTTGTGCAAACATGAATAGTATGGGAATACATCCGAATATTGTTGTTTGCAATTCTCTGATTAATGGTTTGTGCCAGCAAGGATGTCTTATTGAAGCTTTCAGGTTTTTTGATTCTTTGGAAACTAATGGTCTGTTTCCTACCAATATTACTTATGGTACTCTTATTGGTGTCTTATCTCGGGAGGGTTTCATGGAAGATGCTGAAGAATTATTCAAGAAAATGATTCTTAAGGGAATCACTCCAAACACACAAATCTACAACTCATTGATTTCTGGATATAGCAGCTTTGGGTTGATAGAGAAATCCCTCAAACTTCTTCAGGAATTAGAGGAAAGTGGCTTGCAAGCAGATGCTTTTACAATCAGTTCTGTGATCAGGGGTTATTGTCAAAAAGGCGAGACCCAAGGTGCCTATGGATTCTTCAATGAGTATAAAAGGAGAGGATTTTCTCCTGACCTATTAGGTTTCTTGATTTTGGTCGAAGGGCTCTTTGTAAAGACAAGAATGAAAGAAGCGAGGGATGTCCTAAGAGACATGCTGCAGTGTGAAGAGGTTGTGGATGTGATAGATAGGACCGGTAATGAGCATCAAGTTGATTCTTTAGTTAGTCTTCTCAATCTTTTTTGTGAGCAAGGGAGAATCCAAGAAGCTATTTGTGTCATCAGTGAAGTAGGATCAGAGGCTTTCCCCTCATGGAGGTCTAGAGACACCAATAGACTTAAACAAATCAAACAGCTACAGAAAATTGGCTCCTTAGATATAACTACTGAGGAGAAAGTTCCTAATAATGGATTATGTGAGATTAGTGACAAAAAGGACACAAATGTTGGAAACTATGAATTGTTATTTGAGAAATCCTTACCTTATGACTATGACGCTAGCTTTTCCATCATAGCATCACTCTGTTCAAGAGGGGAATTGCAGAAAGCTAATAATGCAGTCAAAACAATGCTTCTGGCATCAGATGGACATTGTTGAGGCCAGTGTGCAGCTTGTTATTGTCATGTGCAAGGTCAGCTTGTTATTGTCATGTGCAAGGGCTTCACCACCATTGATGGGAGATTGCCATGCTTTTTTTATTTTCTGCTGATACAATTCACAGGTGACAGGTGTGTTTTTACTTTCAATGTTAGTTTCTTTCAGTAATTGCACATAGACCCCCAATAGTTATTGTTGCACATAGACCCCCTGAGTGGATTTTTTTTGACCCTTTCCAGGGGTCAATCTTCAACAATACATTTTCACTTAGGGCGTCTACCTGCAACAATAGAACTCTTTCAGGGGGTGTATCTGCAACAATAGAACTACAAGGGTGGTAAGTTCAATTTGATTATAATACAGGGAGTCTATCTGCAATAACCCTTCTTTCAATTGCTCCTGTATTTTGTGCTTTTATAAGATATGTTCTTTCAGATTCGACCAAGTTTAATTTTAAGCCTCTTAACCAGATGTTGAGCTTTGAAGATTTAATGCGAGATGTGAATGTGGGTTGGTGTAACTGCTGAAAGTATGGATCACCCAGAAATTGGAGCTGATATGTTGCACAAGTTCATGCAATTTTGATTGAAGGGCGCATTTACTAATGTTGAAGGTACTAGCAAAGACCTACTTATATTTTAGGGGTTTCAGCATTACCCCTATGTTTTCTGAAAGCTATATATTTCACTTGCCGATTTCCAATCCTCACTTTTGGCTATGAATTAGGAGACATAATGAGGATGGAGTCTCTCTGTAAAATCTATCTTTCGTACTTACAAAACATCTGTAAAATCTATTGATACGTACAAGACATTCATAGTTGTTCAACATGTATAGCATAATATATGCTTGCAATTTCAGCCCAGATGAAGAAAATTATGGAGCAGAATCTTTATAAGCCTGCTGTTTGGTTGTATGAAGTTGAACTTTTTGACCAATTTGGTTCTTTATCATAATATTAATTAAATTTATTTAGATCACAATTCTCTCTTTTCCTAAAGTTCCCTTTGTCAACTCTCTGTTATTCTTAGTTCATAGTTGATTTCACCCTCATTTGATGGGTAAGACTTAGATGATAGTGGTCTTTATTGTTGGGTTTTTCTGATATTAGTCTCCCAAACAAATCTCTCATAGTTCGAAAGTAATCCCCCAAATTTTAATATTTTGAAATTCGTCTCCCAAATCTTTAAGTACTTTGAAATTAGTTCCCAAATCTTCATATTTTCAAATTAGTCCTCCAAATCTTTTTAGTATTTTAAAAATAGTTCCCCAAATCTTTCCACCATTGGCTAAACTAGAAGGACCAATTTCAAAATATCAAGATTTGAGGGGACTAATTTCAAAATGCTTGAAGAGTTGGGGGCTAATTTCAAAATATCAAGATTTGAGGAACTAAATTCGAAGAACGACAGATGTGAGGTGCTAATATTAAAAAAAAACCTCTATTGCTTACGTGTGCTGGTTTAATAGAGTTATCGAGTAAACTACAAAAACATGTCAAAGACATGAGTTATCATGGTAAATTTGATCCTAGATCGATCCTAGATTCTTAGCCTCTGCCAAAAAGATCTATAACATCGATCATACTAGTGTTTATTATTTTTAAATATGGCTGTCCTATTAATAAAGCAGCTCATCTTAGATAAAGGCTAATAATATAATAGATGATAGCATGTTATCATCTTTATGAATTTGTCTAGCTAGTACACTTTACAGATTCCTGCCAACCTTGGGTACTTTTGTTCATCATACACAATTTCGGCAGAAAGTATAGGCACTGGACATGAAGATTTCTTAGAACTTGATTCGAAAAAAAGTTGCATGATGAAAGAGGTTTCTCAGATTTATCACGTTAGTGTTGTTAATAATCTAAATTGAAAATTTGGCTGACAAATACGTTTATCGTAACACTGTATTCACGAATCATGCTACATAATAAGTTTGTTCTCTTTTCTTTTGTATCCAATCAAATATTAATGACAAAGGTTTATCCTGATTTCAAATCTAGAAGCATTATCAAGTGTTGGATGGTTATACTGTGAAGGATTTTGCACCGAGGTATCTCAGAGGACCAATTATCATGTTAAGTACTGACGCCTACAGCCACCAAACAATAAAAGATCCATTGACAAATAGAGGAAAAAGTGTCATTACAATGAGGTTAGTCTTTCATTTGGTAAAGACTCGTTGACCAATTCTCATGGTTTGGCATTACAGTTTTTTGCTTATGGTTTTTCTTGCCAGGATTTTGACACCAACGGATGTACAGTTATTGGAACGACTTGAATTTCAGGTTGTGATGTATAGCCAACTCGGTTTTGATGGGAGGAAACGTAGGAAGGAAATAGAAAGATGGTGATGACAATGACGGTGTGAAGATTATGACTAAAAGGATCTTAAACATAGACGACGATACGAAGAAACTTTCAGCAAATCATCATTTCTTCTCTTTTTTTCCCTATTTCTTTTTCTGTTGGTCTACTTTGGATTATGACTATAGTTCATAAATTTCCCTATGTGGGTGGTAATGCAAAATTGATCTTGTATACCTGGTTCAGTTCGTAGATATTTAATTATTGTTGTTAATAACTTATAATTCTTTCGAGTTGCTGAAATGAAATTGGAGGAGTTGAGAGCTCATATCTTCTAACCACAGTACAAGGTATCGATACAAGAGCTACTGTTATTATTCCTCTTGTCTCCCTGCAAACTGGGGCTTGTTTGGTTAGAATTGAACTATGGCGTCAGATCCACTTGTCTGATTGTACTAAAATGCATTACGTTATTATATCAAAACGTAGTTAGCTAACTGCCAAGACATAGAAAATATTGCATTACGTACTATATTTGAACAAGCTTAATATAATTTGAGACTAGAGAAGAAGGTAGCTGTTGTGGGGGTACTTTTCCTTTCTTTATTTCTTTTCGTCTCGTCAAAAAGGTTTGAAAGCGAAAGTAACTTTTTGATAAAAAGTTCTCTCCAAACTGTAACTTGGATTGCAAGTGAAAACTAGGATAGAAAGGAGGATGGTGAAGTATAATAAGTAGTTGTATGCATCTCTGTAGAATTTTCGTCAGTTGCTTGCGTTGTCCCCACTTTTGCCCAGCCTTGCGGGGGTCCCTACCCCACAAAAGCCTGCTGGAAAAGGCTGGAGCTTTTTAGCTGGTTCATGCTTGATTTCGGTTAATTTTGCAAGCTTTGCTACGTGTACCTAAAATATGAGACCAACAAGGGAACATATGAGTTGTCCCCTTCCTATTGCATAACGAGTTAGCCATAATTAATGATGGTCAACTCATTATACAATAGTAGAGAGACACCTCACATGTCCACATGTTGGTCCCACATTTTAGATCATTGGGGAATTTTTCTAATTTTGCTTCAACCACCATGGATAGTCACTTACTGTTGCCTGATTCTAGGTGGACAAATTGAAAGACATTATATTTGGTTAATCCTAATTCTGCTGTTATCATATATATTTTCTATAATAAAATGCAAATCTCTAAATGACGGATTTGGAATTTATTTTCCATAATAAACGCTGCATTAGACAATTACTATGTTTACAATCGCAGCCTATCAAACAGTCCCAGACTCTCTCTACTCAAATGAAGTTATCTCTATCTGAATGCTAAAAAATTTCTAGTCCTAGTTAAAAAAAATCCTTAACTAAAATTCCCCCCACCAATCAACCACGGTTGTCAAAATTTGGGGAGTGCTAAATTTTTGGACATTTTAGGATCCACAGTTGTTTTCCTTCTCAGTCCTAATATGTTAAACTTTACCTCAGTATATTTAGGTGAAGATAATGCTTTATATGACCAAAAATGAGAATTTTGATTGGTACAGAAATAAATGAGGTATATTTCAAAAGAATCTTCAATCAAAATTTTTATGATGAAATTCGATCAATTTTGTTATCCGTTGATAATAAAACCAAATGCTAGATGTAGCAGCAAAAAATCATCAGAACTTGGTCAGATCTGCGTTCTTCAAAGTCACTGGCACATATGATTTTTGATTCTTACAATTTCCTATTTATACGGACTCAGTTTCTGGAAACCAGGAAACAAACGTGCACACAGCAAACGTGCACAAGCACAAACTGAAAAACAGAATCAGTTAACTGTTGTAACTGAAACTAACTAGAACATTTATTACAGACCCTGTACATAAAGTCTTTGCATATCAGACCCATCATCTTGCGTATCAGTCCATGCTCTCCAAGCTGCAGGTTCTCAGGCTTGTTCTCCAGCTCCTCAGGCTTGTACTCCAATTGTTCTACAGCTTCCTCAAACTTATTCTCCAGGTCAATTGACACAGCCTTGTTCTCCAACTCAATAGACAGGTTCTCAAGCTTATTACATGTTCCTGACAATTTTCATCTCCTGCGCCATCTCCAGTTCCTGCTCGAGCTATCAGTCCTCCAAGCTTCCAAGGTCCTTGGCTCAATTGACAGGACCTCTGGCTGTTCATCCAGTCCTGACAATTCCCTCCCCTTAAATTGGACCTTGTCTCAAGGTCAACTGTAGGAAATTGTTTAACAAGTTCCCAGAAAGGTTCCCAAGTTGAATCTAATGAAGTGCGCTGCTTCTATTTGACGAGAACTTGAGATGTCAAGCGATTCCCTTTGACAACCGACCTCCTGTCCAGAATTTGCTCTGATTTATCAACTATAAGCTCACCACGACACATCTTTGAAACAAATTGAAGAAACTTTGAATTCTGAAATTTTGGATCCCCATTTTGTGCTAATGTATGCGCAAGCATATGAGCCTGCTCTGCTGCTGCTGCATTAGGTAGAGTCATAAGTGTTTTTCGACCATCAGAATTACTCTGAAATTATTCCTGCTCAAATTCAGAAGTGCATAGCGTAGAATCTGCCTCAAAGCACTTCATTAAAAATCTAACCATAGCAACATATGTTATTGATGAGAAAATAAGTTCCTTTTCCATGACTTTAGATGAATATAAAACTATTGGCCGCTGATGAATATGTTTTTGATGGCAAAGAAGGGCTTGGGCAACTAGCATCTGACTGCTTCTGATCATGCACCCCCAGCCAACATCACTAGTGAACCTTGAATCACCAATGGCATCAAAACCTGTGAAAGAAGCTCTGGTAAAAAAAACTTTTCATTCTACAGGTTGCAAGTAGTTCTCAAAATCCAATTGACAAAGATATATTTGGTCCCTCTTAACAAATAACCAACCTTTTCTATATGTCATCCAAATTCTTGATGAGAAATCTTCCAAAAAAGCGGTCAGATCATTTTCAGGATTAACACCAGCGGCTGGGTAGCATGCGCCTAGAAGCCATATTTCACTAGCTGATCTTGAAATATCAGCCTTGCATGTACCTAATACAGTTGAAGTATTTTCAGAAAGGAACTGCTCCACCACATCTTCAGTTTGGGATATTGTTAAACTACAAGTGCTATACACAAGCGATTTCCCAGCTTTTAATAACCTGAAACCATTGCTCAGAAGCTTTAATTGAAGATGCATCAAGTTGACTGTACTTTCTGCATCGAGTAATCGCCGTTGAAGAGTTCCCCAACCCCAATATTCAAACTTCTGGATGTGTTTGAATGAACCATCATGAGTACACTTTCTATGCAGTCCAACTACTCTGGAATCCCTACCAAAAAATATCAACTCTGGTTCTGCAATTTCTGTAAATGCTTGTAGTTCATTAGCATTTTTTGCTTTCCTTGCGTTCTTCTTTCGATCACTCCATAGCCTCTTTGAATTCCAGTCTGTGAATACGTTTCCTTTATCCTCACAGTGAGTCGCACTTGATTTCATGTTAGTGGGAGATCTCACTGGTAGGAGAGAAAATGTTGTTCCATCAGCAATAAAGAGTCGACAGCGATTTCCCAGTGCACATTTCTGTAACATTGTACGGCATGCTGCTAACCTATGCTTTGCAATATCAACACCGGTCAGGGATCCTGAGCTACCAAGTAGATCTGAGAGCATGCATAACTTGGCACCTGGGACTGCACATAAATCAAGGATATGATCACCTGGGGAAATAATCAAGGCCATAACAGCAACCCCTGATGCAGCATCCATCCCATAAATCTTTTGCAGAGCGTGTTCTTTACAGGCGGAAGGGAGAGATTCCTCATCGACAGACGGCAAGTTGGCCCAAGAGGCTGCGACGACCTGAGCAACTCCGATGTTGCCGCAGTTCCGGCGAGCCTTGTTGCTGAGCTGGCGAACAAAATTAGGCGGGAACTTGAAAATGAGAGCTGAGGAGACACCGTAACCGTTCGAAAATGGTAATTTCTTGTTGGGTTTTTTCTTCTTCTTGCCTGACATTGGCCGTGACGATTTCCTGAACTTTGGTTTTCTCTTGCTTGAGATTGGCCATGGCCGTTTCTTGAGCTTTGGCTTTCGGTGGAGACGAGAAGATCGTGACTTCTTCATCTTCTTCTTTTTAATCTTCTCAGTTGATAACAACTCTGATTCCTTATTCTTTCTTAGAGGTGAAAGATCTTCCACAGAAGAACCAGTTGATAACAACTCTGGTTCCTTGTTCTTTCTTGGAGGTGAAAGATCTTCCACAGAAGAACCTTCAGCTGTGATACTTGCTTCAGCAGTGAGTTCTTGATCTTTCTTCGGGCTTCTTTGAGCTGATGATGATGGTATTTGTTCTTTAAGTCTTGAGTAGTTGTCCTCGCCCACGAGATTTTTGTATTCAACAAGACGAGTGTGTTTTTCCAAACCGATGACTGTGCTTGAGTGCCAGGACCCTTTAGGCCCTTCATTAGAATATCGGATCTCACTGCTTCCTGAATCCTCTTTCTGTGCAGATGCAGAAACAGGTGGCTGAGCTATTAGAATATCGGATCTCACTGCTTCCTGAATCCTCTTTCTGTGCAGATGCAGAAACAGGTGGCTGAGCTATTGCATCAACATCAGTACTCTTCGCACTTGCCCTCTTTCTGTGCAGATGCAGAAACAGGTGGCTGAGCTATTGCATCAACATCAGTACTCTTCGCACTTGCCTTTGACCCAGGTGGCCGTCTTCCTTTGTTTCTTACAAAGTTTGAAGGATTCTCAACAGGGGCTTGGGAAGCAACAGAAGTGTTCTTGGAATAGGTTTGACGATCATCCTTTGGTCCCGACCCCAAGATTTCTTGGCCAAGATTCTTGGAACCTCTATGGATTCTTTTGGTAACCTGCTCCTTGATGAGATCATTGAGGTAAGAAAATTGTATGGCTAATTGACAACAACCATCATAAATGTTCCGCCCTTGTAGAGAATTCATCGCTTCGACCGTATTTTGTTGTGATTGGAATTGGATAAGAGCTTGAAAGCCAACTGTGATGATCTTCTCTACAAACCCATATGGAGAAAACACTTGATGCAACACTTCCTTCGTTATAGGATAGATCATTGTGTGAATGGTGACGAAGAGGATTCGATTGGGTTGTGAATCTTGATCTGTGAAGCTCTTGCTCATTTCATGGCTTGGATTCTTGGATTTCTTGAAATCTTGAACAAAAATCTAAAACTGAGAAGACAATCATCCATGGCTGCCCTCAATTGATGTTAGGATCGACCAAGCTCGGAGAAGGATCGATCATGCTCTGATACCAATTGTTAGGATCCAAGCAACTTGGGGAACCCACCCTTAAAAGCTAGCTGTTAAGGGGGAAGAACCAAGCTACTTAAATACCCCCATCAAGTTTCCCATTTTACTCGATGTGGGACTTTAGGCAGCCCATACTACCCAAGTCCCTAACATAGCACCACCCCTGAGCGCCGACGTCCCGGCGGCTGCACTCTATGATGCTTCACTCGGCGTTGCTTCACTCGGCCTTTCCGGTCAGCCCCTCCGCCGGTCAGCCCCTCCACAGGTAGCCCTTTTCATGACGCCGACAACCAGCTCTGACACTAATTGTGAGGATCCAAATCCTCTATCGAATCTGGTATTGTTGTTTCTGGCCATGATGAGCCTGAAACAAGATTGAGAAGAATTTGCAATAGAGAGTTGAGAGAGAGAACAGAGAGAGAACTGAGATTGAGTTTAGGAAGAAGAGAAAACTTCAGATTTCATTCATGATGATTTTTGATTCTTACAATTTCCTATTTATACAGACTCAGTTTCTGGAAACCTGGAAACAAACGTGCACACAGCAAACGTGCACAAGCACAAACTGAAAAACAGAATCAGTTAACTGTTGTAACTGAAACTAACTAGAACATTTATTACAGACCCTGTACATAAAGTCTTTGCATATCAGACCCATCATCTTGCGTATCAGTCCATGCTCTCCAAGCTACAGGTTCTCAGGCTTGTTCTCCAGCTCCTCAGGCTTGTACTCCAATTGTTCTACAGCTTCCTCAAACTTATTCTCCAGGTCAATTGACACAGCCTTGTTCTCCAACTCAATAGACAGGTTCTCAAGCTTATTACATGTTCCTGACAATTTTCATCTCCTGCGTCATCTCCAGTTCCTGCTCGAGCTATCAGTCCTCCAAGCTTCCAAGGTCCTTGGCTCAATTGACAGGGCCTCTGGCTGTTCATCCGGTCCTGACACATATTCATTAAATCGTACGTATCACCAAAATATAGGTAAATGACGCTTAAATACCCTATTATTTTAGTAACTTTACACTTAAATATATTTAGTTATAAAAATTAGCACGCAAATATCTTAAGTTGTCCAACATTAGAATCATGTTAACACCATTAAAATTATATATTTTGACAAAAATAGCGTCTATTGAAATGGTAATAATAAATAGAATGGGTTGTTAAAATTATAATTAAAGCAACAAATAGGATCAAATGCTAAGCGCATGAGAATATTCCTTAAGATATTCTAACATCCAACTTACAGAAAATAGTAACGTGCTGCTTTTGAACAACTCAGAGTATTTTTATGCTACTTTTGAACAACTTAGGATATTTTTGAGATACCTTTTACAACTCAAGGTATTTAAGTATAAAATTAGTGAAACAATAGGGTATAGGGTATTTAAGTGCCATTTAGCCCAAAAATATATATGAAAGTAAAAATGAAAATAATAATATCAACTTAGGTGTTGTAACAAATCAGAATTGCTGTCATTAAATTACGACAATCCTATTTTTTAAAAATACAAATTAAAAATTTTCTCTTGATTTTCTGCAATTTTTCATTAACGGCTGCCGTACGATTTTTGCTACCACCTATTATTTCTGAGTAAAGTCTTCATAAAAAATCTGCGGTCAAATTCTCCTCTATGACACACAGGACCCACATTTTTCAGGGGCCCAACTATTCACACTCCCAAACAGTAACTTTGGGGGTGTGTGAGGACTAAATTGTCCTTCTCCCAAACCAAACCAGGCCAAGTCCAAAAGGGCATTTTCGGCAATCCAACTCCCAAAGTTACTGTTTGGGAGTGGATATAGCAAACATGATTTTTCAGCTGCCCCAGTGGGCGATTAGACCGAGGGATTAGAAAAGTGTTTTTACATACTAGTCCCCCATATGGTTCATATTTTAAAATTAGTTCCTCAAATTTTCATATTACTAATTGGTCCCCAAATTACTAAGTGCCATAAATTGGCACCTCAAACCTTTAAGTGTTTCAAAATTAATCCACGAGATCTAAATATTTTGAATTAATTCTAAATATGTTAATTGTTTTGAAGCTAGTCCTACGGATCTTTCGAACTTGTGGTAAGTAGAGGGACTAATTTGAAAACTCTTAAAGGGTGTGAGGATTAATTCAAAATATGAAGATTAGTCTCAAAATATGAATATTTTGGGGACTAATATTAAAAAAATTCTATACGAAAAAAATAAAATCTGTTGCCGTAGTTTGAAGGGATTAATACTTGACAACATCCCTCAAAATTAAGGTTAACGTTAAACTCAAAACAAACCCCAAAAACTCTTTCCTTTGAGTACAAGTACAAGTAAATCATGGCAATCCACTCTGTACTCCTTGACTCACATTACTAAAATAAATAATATTAATAACGAAAAAAGTAATAATATAATAGCTTTCTTTACTCAACTTGGAGAGAGAAAGAGAGTGAGCAGTGAGAGAGAGAGAGAGAGTAGGCAGATATAGAAAGAGGAGTTGGTACCAAATACTCCCATTTTGCTGCTCATTTCAAAACCTAATTCTCAAAACCCCCTTTTTCTTTCCCCATTTCCTCTCGCAAGCGAGAGAAATTTTAAGAGAAAGAGGGGACCTTTTCCTTTTGTTTCGTATTTATGATTTTATTCGATTTCTAGGGTTTTGAGCTAGATCTGCAGTCTTCAAGCTCGACTCAGCTAAAGGTGCGATTTCTGTTCTCTTCGCTTGCTTTTTTATTTCTATTTTTGCTAATTTTGACCTAGTATAGTGTAGAAGAGGGGGTGGAAAAAGAATGCAGCTTTTGATTTAGCTAGTATTGTTAAATGCTGATCCAGGCAATGGAGGATTCTTCAAGTGATGGGAGTCGATTTCGGAGAATACCTCGTCAACTGTGGACTTCTAATCTGGAGCTCGATTCTGTGGTTTGTTCATTCTCTCTTTATTTTTGCATTGCTCCATTCGTCATTCTTACCCCGCATAAATTTCTCATTTCCGTATTATGTTACAATACTGACATGTAAAAGCTACATAAAATTTGAATCCCAGGGGGAGAATTTTTTTAGAAACTAAGTCAATTCATTAAGCAAGTTCGTCGTTTTTACAGTAAAAAGGAAATAGCTTAAACTATGTAAAGAAAAATCTCATCAAACTCTTATATGTAGAATTTTGTTATGTGCATAAAGAGTTTCATTTTTTAAAACTTCATCAGAACCTTGGCATCTAAATTCGGATGCCTCCTTGACAAATACCTACTGCAGCCACCTTCTGGAACATATTGGACGCTATGATGTCTATAATGATATATTACCAATTTGAGACATTAAATTTTCACACTCAATAAGTTTCAAGCTACCAGCAGTGTTTCAAAATTGATATTGTTAAAGCTAGGAGAATGACCATTAGATTTCAATCTTGCTTACAGATAAATGAAAATTTGGAGCAGTGGCCGCATCTAAATGAGGTGGTACAGTGCTATAAAGCTGATTGGGTGAAGGACGAGAATAAGTATGGGCACTATGAAAGTGTTGCGCCTTTGTCATTACAGAATCAAGTTTTTGAAGGGCCTGACACGGACATAGAAACAGGTGATGACAATATAACATAATTATGATTTGTCCATTTGAAATATGAATATTTGTGTAGAATTATTTTTCTTATTTTTGTGATTACCTCAGAAATGCATCTTGCCAATGCAAGGCAGTCCAAAACTGAAGAGGCAACTGATGATGACGGTCCCAGCACCTCAGGAAGACAGATAAATGAGGTACTTGCTTCAGTTACCTCTAAATTTAATTTAATCGGAAAGTTTTTTTTGAGTTTTTAGGTAATGGATAAATAGATTTGTGATGATTGTTTGCTTACATCTTGCATCATGTACATCCAATAAAAACCACCTGCTACATTGTATAGTTCATTCACGTGTTAATCTCAGAATACCTGCAATCATCTATAATATGCATTTCAGGGCTCAAGATATATATGCATATTAGTCTATGAAATGCTGCCAGCTTCCAGTTATTGTCACATGTAAATGTTATGCGCTGACTATAGATGGAAATGTGGTTGCATTTGAGTCGTGTGTCCCTGAACATTTATGAATGCTTCATCCATTAGGCATTAGCACATGGTCATATGACTTTTAGTTATGGTCTGAAAACTGGATCAACATTTTTATAGTAGAGGAAAAATCAGGGTAGTGAACGGAAATCTAGATGGTATTTTGCTTCCATTGTTTATGGAGAATGCTGCTTTGTTAGGGGATATTCTTTTTGGTTTTAAAGAAATTTAGAATCACATGTCCTGAATGACTTATATGTCAATTTTCCTGACTCTAGTAGCAACAACAAAGCCTTGATCCATATTTTTTTTTGTTTGGCTATATGATTTATTTCCATCCACTGAGTTCTTTGAAAGGCCAACTTATCAATTGACTTAGCCTCTATTATATCCTTCTTAATTTTCCTTATTGCCTACCACTAGTTCTCATTTCTCCATTACCTATCATCTTGTCTCTTATTCAAACTGCCACCACATTCATGCCCAAACCAGCCCAGTTGATTCTCCCTCATTTTATGCTGAATGGAAATGACCCCTAAGGCTTTCATGACCAAATACCTGCACCAATAGTAATTGGGTTTATTATGTTGTTTTTACTAAAAATCTTCGATTTGCTTTACTATAACTTACCATTGATATTATTGCTTAACGGTATGTGCACTACCAGTCTACCATGCTGCTTGAGTTCCTCTTGAAAGGAATTGCGTACTCTTTAACAATTAGATTAAAGGCTTATTCAGGTAGTTACAAGATTAAAGTAGACAAGATTTCGGATGTATGGCTTGAGTACTTGTTTTTAGGGCCCCAGGAGATCACACGATGAAACGCGTACCCCTAGTTGCAAGCTTATGCAATTGATTTAAATAAAGATCAACCTTAATAGTTGCATGAATTTAAAGTTCATAGCAATGAGGAAAACCTGCCTACCACCAGCTGGTCTTCTGAGAAGCATGGCCCAACTGACATCTGATTTAATAGGGATCTATTCTCTCGAACGGAATTGCCTTCTATATGAATTCCATAGGTGTTTGTTGAGGCCCTAGAGGGTTAATGTCTCGTTGACAGCTCATAGTAATTTGCTCTGCCTATGAAGCTTTTTGACTTAAAGTTGTTCTTCTTGAGTCATGGTTGAGCATATATGGATCCTAAAATAGCTTTGATGAATTTGACCCCATCCTGCACCAACGATTGAATTTTGACTGATCGACAATTCTCCTTCATTTCAGTTATGACTTTTGCCTATATTTTATTCTTTTGTATCATTTTATTTGGATTCAGGTATTATTGAATTTAATTATTTTGCTTGTGGTCATTATATGTGTTCCAGCATTTTGGCCAATCTCCACTGCCAGCATATGAACCTACATTTGACTGGGAAAATGAAAGATCGATGTTTTTTGGACAAAGGATCTCTGAAGCTCTTCCAGCTCAACATTGCAGGTTATCACAATGATATGCCTTCATTACGTCATTAGCACCTTGTGCAAGAACAATACTTGTCTGTATAAATCCACTAGGAAACATTTGTTATTTTATAGATGGTGTTTTCTCTCTGACCCTCATCGTTCTCTGGGTTTCAGCGGATTGAAGATTACTGTGAAGGTACTATCCTTGTCTTTCCAGGCTGGATTAACTGGTGAGTATTGCTGAAAAATGTCACGTGTGTGTTAAACTGTGTTGGCCCAGTGTTTCCTAAACGTTTTAAAAAGGAATTTGCTATCCTAAGTGTCCTGAAGTTTCTAGTAATATTTTATCATGCAGAGCCCTTCTCTGGTACAATTTGCCTATATAACAGGGAGAGAAGAGAAAAAATGTCAGAGGACTTCTATTTTCATGTTCTGCCAACAGAGTTACAGGATGTAAGATCTAAATCTGACCTCATTTTCATTACATTTATCATGTTTTTGTTTCAAACTTTTGTGCTTCATCAAATTATCATGCCGGAACTTGTCTGAAGGAGACTTACTTTCTTATTATTATTTTTGGATTGTTAGACTTCTAAGGAGAAAAAATTCCATGCCTTGTGCTTCTTCAGTATCATATCTTTGTGTTCTTTATGCTTCTTTCTTAAGCTTTCAGAACTTAGTGTTGAATCACAATACAATGCCTTGGCTTTTCTGAAGGATTACTTTTCTTGTCATTATTTTGTAATATTCGCAGACATAAGGAAAGAAGGTTTCCAATCCTCTGCTTCTTCAATATCATGTTTGCGTCTTTTGTGCTTCTTTCTTGATTTCTAATTCTTGTGTAGACTAGTATAATGCTTTAAATGGTCAAAAGTTAATTTCTCCTTTTATTCCACTTAGGCTAGCATTTCTTCAGAACGTAGGGGAGTTTTCTCTTTAGATGCTCCTTCAGCATCTGTTTGCCTCCTCATTCAGCTAGAGAAGCCTGCTACAGAAGAAGGGGGTGTTACTTCATCCGTTTATTCACGAAAGGAACCTGTAAGTGATGTCATTTAGCTGTTATTTTGGTGAAACTTTCTTTTATGTTCCTAAAATCTAATGTTTATATCTAGTTATTTTGTGAAAATATCTTTAGAAGTTTCTAATGGAAGTATAATCACAGTTCATTCAACACCATTCAAAACATGTAATTCGATTTTAATAAATTAAAGTCTGTAACATGCGACAGGTATATGTAACTTTTTACGCCTCAGGCATGTTGTTCGCCAGAACATATTCAAATTCATACTCCATTCGGCAAACTTGTCTTTTTTCATCCTTTAATTATGATCTCTTAGTGAGCATGTGTATATGGAGTTGGTTGTCATCTAACTTTGACTTAATAGGTTCATTTGACAGAGAGAGAAAAGCAGAAACTGCAGGTATGGTCTCGAATCATGCCATACAAGGAGTCATTTGCTTGGGCTATTGTTCCACTCTTTGAGAACAACAATCCCATGGCGTCAGGTGGTTCTGCTTCCCCTAGCAGTCCTCTTGCTCCCAGCATATCTGGCTCAAGCTCCCAAGACAGTGTTGTGGAATCTGTTATGAAAAATACTTTAGATGGCAAGTTGGCTCAGTATTCAAGTGGAAGTTCAGTTATTGTTGAGATATCAAACTTGAATAAAGTCAAAGAAAGCTACACAGAGGACTCACTTCAGGTTGTATCTTCAAAGTGCATTGTAATTTTTAATTTCAGCATATGATGTGAATCATGCGAAGTGTCCGTCTATACTTCACTTGCATTTTAATTTTATTCCACTGGATGTCTGATGTTATAATTTTCTTATCGACTACCTATTCATAGATGATGTTGATAACTTAATCAGTGGTAGGTTACATTCCAGTAGACCAACTTGCATAGTCTATGTCTAGCCCCTTCATTTCAATTGGCAGGATTATGTAGAAATTACCAATGCCTGCTAGTTTATATTAGGTTGACAAGTTATAAAGTTTTATCAAATTACTGTTTGTTCTTTTCTATATATAGTCCTGCTCCATAGGTTAAAAGGTTTAGATCATGGTGGATATATATAAATTTAGACCTGGTGAAACTCATCATCTATTATTTACTATTTTAATTTCTCAGGACCCTAAAAGGAAGGTACACAAGCCTGTGAAAGGTGTACTCAGATTGGAAGTTGAAAAGCTTCATATGACTAATGTGGATGCTGATAACCTTTCTGAAAGTGGAAGTCTAACAAATGAACCAAATGATGCTGCTGGCCGTTTTGCGGAGCCTTCTTCCGCAAAGTATCTTGGTAATGGTTCTGATGGATTACGGACCGGTAACTTGAAGTTTAATGCCAGCGATAAAAAGGAATCACACAGAAATGTTCCAAATATGATACCAGGAAGTTGTCTCGACAGCAATAGTGATGAAGTAGTAAGTAGTAATTGATTTACAGTTTCTTTGCTATATAATTTTAGCATCATATGTTAGTAATCAATAATATTTTCATATATTGTGGTTTATTTTTCCTTCCAGGACACGCATTTATAGTGGATTTATAGCAGTCATAGAAAAGAATAGTAATATATCACAGAAATGTATTAGCAACTAAAATCAATTGTTCTGTATAGCATATTGTTTCTGAAGAGTGAAATAGAATTTAGAAGTAAGAAAGGTTGTTTCTTTCAACTGTTGAACAATTGTAGATTGAAATTAAAGCCTATAAATGTTTGAAAAGTGATAAAAGATTCACATGTATTACAGTGATTTTTTTCTTTGGTGGTAAAGATAATCCTTTGTGAACCACTCTAGGGTTTTCTGTGTATATATTATCTGTTTATTAAGTTTATATATGAACTGTAATAATACTTAGACACCAGGTCGAATATTCAACCCATAGGTTGTCTTGGAGATAATAAATTTCAAATTATATCTTTACACTTTTAGAAATATCTTTCAGCCTGAAGTAGTGGCTTGGGCTTAAAAGAGAAAGGAAAGGGTCACCAGGGTTGCAATGCAGTGGAAAAGGAAAGGTCTATCAACATGTACACAGTGATTCCTGTCTCATGGTTGCTTATGTGACACCTCATATTTGTGTTTGGATGCTAAGTTCAAGGAATTCTTGTCAAAATTTTAATATGCGCAAGTTTGTATGCATGTGTGCACATGGGTTGGAGTTCATTTTTATTTTTATTTTTTGTAGGAGATAAGGAGGGAGGGATAGGGGTAAATGGCTTATATTACAAATCCAGTCCATCGGTTATTATGTTCTACGTCACATGGAAATGGGTACAAGTACCGGTGCGGGTACGGGACACGGCAAATTCGTAAAATGTGGGTACGGGGATACAGCCATATATATATATATATAATATTATTATTATAAAAGTGTGTTGTCATGTTAAAACATTTCTTCCAAAAATACCCTCCAAAACACAGACATGCATACATCTCTAGCAAATCCATACATGCATACATTAAGATATATACATACTTAATTTTTCATAACCTCCCTATTTATTAGCATCAAATTTTCATTTAACTACCAACTAATAACATTCCCCTACTAAGTCTTGACATTACACACTAATAATGAAAAACGTTACAACTATTCATGAAGTTTTGGTAAATCACTATAAATTACTATTATAACATTTCCCCACTAAGTCTTGACATTACACACTAATAATGAAAAACATCATAACTATTCATCTTCCATAAATCACTATAAATTAATATAGAATCTTATCAAATTTCTCTAACCAAAATTCTAACTTTTAATCAAAATTTATTCATATTGAAAAGTAAGGAGACACAACTACAACACTTACAAACCGTAAGAAGTGTGAGTGTGTCAATGGTAACATCACTGGTGGAGTACAATCGAATTGATTGAGGAGATGGTAATGGAAGCATCGATTGTAACAATTTAGAGAGCAGAGAAAAAATCGGTGAATGCGACAAAGAAGGCGGTCCTGTATTTTATCAAAATTTACAGCTATTTCAGTCATAAACTAATTGGTTTTCTCCCCTTCCATCTTCGTATATGTTTTTGCCTTAGCATGTAAATTGGTTTCCAACTCCTAGGCATGTTTGTAAATGTGCCAAATTGTTTGTATAGTTTGGTTGAATCTCTTAATGCATTATGCTTATTCTCGGGATAAAGAAAGCTTTGTCAATGACAATGCATAAGTGTAATTGCTTTCACTCTATATGTGTAAAGGGTTAATTTTTGTTCTATGGTCACTAAGGTAATACATTAATATTATTGGGTTATAAAGGACAAATAGAAAGTGCAGGAAGATCAATTTAGAAAATGATATAGTTAGTTGGTCCTGAGGATGCTTATAGAATGGATTACTACTACAATTTTAAGAGTATTATGAATTTTCTGCTATTAATTATTAATTTTCTGCTATTAATCTCCTAGTTGAGTGTAATCGTTAATGTATGATAATTTTAATATATATTGATATCACATTAATATATAATATTTATATGAATTATTAAATATGTGCAATTATCAAATATAATATGAGTAAAAGTTATTTATTTACCAATTCAAATAAATAAATATATAACATAACATTACAGTAATATGAAAAGTCGTTAACTTTTCATTATTCCACTGTCTTCTTAACCCCGCTTCAATAAGGAACTCATTCATGAAGGGTTACCCATTTCTCCATTAACCATCTGTATTATAACAAATAGAGAAAATTTTACATAATTCCCTCTTCTATATCTTAAGTTGCACTAAATCATCCTCAATATACTAGCACTTAATACCATTGAAATGCAATTTTAGAGATATAAATTGCAAGTATCAAATATAAATTGGGGGACTCTAAGAGCTAATAATAAACTTGAGGAGGTTTAATAATTTCTAGAAAGATAATTTTAAAATGACATCCCTCTCTCTCATGTAAATGTACTTGAGCTTCTTGCTTTACAAGTAGTTTATATTTTTTAATAGAAACATGTGTAAGCTAATTTTCTATGCAGAGAGTTATTGTTTTCGATAAAAATAACTTATTCACGACCTCCTACAAATATACCCATTTAATCTTTATGCATTAAATCTCATTTCATTGAATAAATATTAATTCTTTATTAATTACTATAATATCTTAATAACTATTCACTTTCTAATTAGATCATTATTGTTTTTCAATTCATGTGTTATGAGAATTAAAATTTTGATCACATTTATAAGTTTCTATTATTATGTTGATTATTGTATATTGGAAACTGCTAGTTTTTGGACTAGACACCCAATTACACTGTTATAAATAGCGGTAAGTAGCCCCGCAATAGTGGCGCTAATAGCGTTAGCGGTCCCTTCCCGCGACGCTATCGCTCGCTACGCAATCGTGCAATAACAGTGACATATTACGGAATATGTCTGTTTGCAAAAGCGGTCAATAGTGTGTCATAACGATAAATAGTGAGCGATTGCATTCGAAATTTGCTTTTTGACTGCTATTTAAAAGCGGTTTGAGGCTTATTTTTTTAAAATTAAACTCAACCATTGACCATTGTATTCCATCGTCTCCTGTGATTTTCAGCATACTGCTGTCACCTCTCATAGGCTCTGACACCTATCTTGATACTTCCTCTCACCTTCTTCACCGTGAGCTCCTCTTAAGGTAGTCATGTCACCGCTAAGCTCTTCTTCTCGAAGACGACGACTTTTTGATTCCTCCAGTCATCTTCGGTATTACGTGATGGTTACATGTCTATTTCATGTTTAGGATCTTTTTAAATCATCCAATATGTACTTTTAGATGGTTACATGTCTATTTCATGTTTAGGATCTTTTTAAATCATCCAATATGTACTTTTAGATTTCTTAGGTTTTTTCTTTAGTTTTTCTTTTTTTAGTATTTATACATATCTAAATTAGACCGCTATTTGACTTTACGTTTTTTACCGCTATTTTACCGCAATAGCCTTAGCGATGCCTCACCGCTACGCGACGCTATCCGCTATCGATAACCTTGCACCCAAATCACCCTTTAAAATCATAGTTTTGAACTTTTGGGCTGAAACAAACGCGACCCATGTATAACGAGTTACAAGAAATGACGTGAAGTGTATGATATACATCCAAGAAGTGTATGACAAGTGTTTTAAATTAAGACTTATATCATATAATTAAGTAGAGTACATGTCTGAACAAATGTATGCATATATCCAAGGAGTGTCCATGCAGTTTGGGTATAGGTACGTGTCGGATACATGTCTGGTATGGGCATGGCTTCATATATCCATCATCAACATGCTTTAAAAGTTGTATCTGTTGGGAACGTGCTGTGTGGGTGAGTGAGGGGAGGGAGAGGGTGCTAAAACGATTGTAGACGTCAGATGCTCGCATCACTCATGATGTGTATAAGTTCAAATGGAAGAAGCAAACATTGGCACGGCATGACATGCTGATAAACTAAAGGTCAAACTGGTAGCATCCAAAATGGTATGGAGACTGTGGACACTATGAGAAGTGTCATATCTGATTTGGACATGGATTCGTACAAATATCTGTGCTACATAGCTTAGTACAAAACAAAATTTTTGTACTTAAAACTTCATGACCATGCTCAACTTTTGCTGGACCATAGTTCATATATATCCTAAACTCTTACCCCCTTTAGATGGTTGAAATTTATGATGAAGATTTTTCTTTGTTATTTAATTTTCTTCATTAACGATGGCGCTACACATTTTTTTCGTGTTTTTCAAATTCCCTGAAGAATGCAAAACATGTTTTACTTTTTGGAGTCTTATTCCTGGAAAAAGCATTTTCTTTTAATCATTTGTTTATTTTTAGGAATGAACATGTATTATATTTTTTTTAATTCACAAAGAACCCATCCTTTACAATAGAAATAGTGACATGATCAGTATTTGATTCTTAAACTAAGAATAAGATGTAAGCAATTGCTTATGTAAGATCATTTATCTGAATTTTGAGTTAATGTATGAATTTGAAATCTTAAATAATTGTGTTGTTGTTGCAGTTCCAAGCTTTTGATTTTCGCATGATGACTAGAAACGAACCATTTCCGCAACTTTTACATTGTCTTTATCTATATCCCCTGACCGTCAGTTTGAGCCGCAAAAGGAATTTATTCATTAGGGTGGAAATGAGGAAGGATGACTCTGATATTCGTAAACAGCCAGTAGAGGTTTGTAGTTGCAACAAATAGGTCTTTAAGGTTGAGTATGACTTTAAGATGCATTAACATACTATATTGTGGTGTGTTTTCCATCAGGCCATGTGTCCAAGAAATCCTGGCGGCGGTCTCCAAAAATGGGCGCACACACAAGTTGCTGTGGGTGCTAGGCTGGCCTGCTACCATGATGAGATTAAAATTTCTCTTCCTGCTCTTTTGACACCTCAACATCATCTTTTATTCACATTATTCCATGTTGATCTCCAAACAAAGCTAGAAGCTCCCAAGCCTGTAAGTCCTTTGTGCTGTCAATTTGGTTCATATTGATACAGACTGGACATTTTTAAGCTAATGGAAACCTTGTATGATTTTCTTTTATGATTTATTATACTGTTCCAGTGGTGCATCTAAACCAACAGTACCTGACATCCTATTTGCCTATGCAGGTAATTATAGGATATGCTGCCCTCCCCTTGTCCAGCCATATTCAGTATGTTTTCACTACCCTAGGGCGAACTGTCCTCATCAATTCTGGTCAATACTCACGTTGAATGCTGAACCCCATTGGGCAGACAATTGACTGGTTGACTGGTCAATATTTTCACTGTAACTTAAGAGGATCAAAGGCAATAAACCAGCTGACTGGAATTTGTTCTTGTAGTCCAATCAGCTGGGCGGTCATCCATTTGAATAACTAATTTTGATTTCTAACTCATGCAAACCTCTTAATTGTATTTACTTGCACTTGGGTAGCCAATTGAGTACTTAGGTATGTGATTAGCAAAGTTACTGAGACATGCCTTGTGTTATTTTCAGGCTGCAGGCTGACATTTCTTTACCAATTCTAAGAGAGCTAGTTCCACATTATCTGCAAGATGGAGGGAAGGTATATTTTATAAATACCGTTCTGATCTATTTCTTCAGAACAATTGCTAAGCATCTAATGCTAATCCAGCTTTACAAGCATGATCAACAACAATATTTTCACATGTGCATGTGTGTGTTTTACTTCGAAGACTTCATCAGTGAGTCGCTTAGCTTGGTGTATATGCATGATAGGGTTTTATTGTTCACCGAGGACGTATTTAAAAGTTTTTCCTTGCCCACCAACGTACATGATAGGATCAAGTTACCTTGTGATCCAAACCGTTCATCTTGGGTTACACGTGATGAAACATAAACCTGGAGAAAAAAATGTTTACTTTAAAGATTTGTAATCCATTAATTTAGTGATTGCAGAATGGATGGTTGTTTAGAATTGAGAGCCACCACTTAATGGATGGTTAGAACCTTTCAACTTCATACACATTTTTCCACTCAAGTTCATGTATATTTGTCCACATGTGTTGCATGACATTTAGGTCAAGATGAACAGTGTGGATCACATATAGGGGTAACCTATCATGTCATTGGTAGGTGAGTATAATTTATTCCTAGGGAAAAATAAAGCTGTAATTGCATACATACCCACCACATACATGTGAAAACATAAAATGTTGTTATGATGTTTTTCTATCTGACAAGTGATTTCTTCTCCATGATCTTTTAGGAGAGAGTGGATTATCTAGAGGATGGAAAGAATGTCTTCAAACTACGACTAAGGCTGTGCTCTACATTATTTCCACTCAATGAGAGAATTAGAGATTTCTTTCTTGAGTATGACCGGCACATCCTTCGGACTAGCCCTCCTTGGGGTTCTGAACTCCTAGAGGTAATATTTATTTTTCTGACTGTTTACAGTAAAAAAAAACAGAATTTTCCTTTGTATTTCAAATTTAATTTGCAGTTAGGTTAATTAACTGTTTTCTGTGTTCGCTAGTACTAGCCATTGGGTTCCTGAAAGATTTGAAATTTTGTACCTAATGCAACTTGTTGCATACACAGTAGCGGTTGTGGTTGTCTTTCTCACTGGTGTTTAATATCGTTAAATATTTAGTATACTCATTTTAAATGGTGAGTTATGAAGTGTCACATAATAAATACTTTCTTTCGTTTCCTGGGAAGTTTCTAATTGTTTCAAGAGTCATTTTTTTCTATACCTGTAATTTAGCTGATGTATAAAAACACTAGTAATGGTTTTATGTGCTGTATTTGCCATTGAAGATCATCATTGACCAGAAACCAGGTACACAATTTTATTATTTATACTTGTTACTCAAAAAGATTAGCTGAGGGACATTGTGAAGTTAGATCGCTTCAATGCAGAGAAAACGAGCGTAAAGAATTGTTGGAGATAGATTTAGAGGAAGAAAATAAAAAAGTAAAGAATGGCATGAAGGTTATATGTACAAGTGCAGGGTTACACTACACACAGGGTGTAACAAACTTAGTTACATACACCTGCGAAAATGCATGTTTGCTCCTCGATAGTAATGATCCACACCTTTCATTGTAATCGATATTAACGATCAGGATAAAGAAATTTTATGCATTTATATTATTTTTATGATATTCAGACACTTTGTTCACTATTAGTAATTACCTTCCATTTTGTTTTCATCATCCTAAATTATGTCTTACTTTGTAAACGGTTTTATGGTCAATTGAAGAAGTTATGCCAATCCATAGGATCTGTAGAGTGCGAGATTTGGTTCTCCATGTCTCCTTTATTTTAAATTGCTTTGTCAAGGCAGTTTTGTTCTGTGTCATGCAACGTTTTGCTAAATTTGACAAAAACACAACCACCACTGACAACAGACCCATTTTTCAAAATCTCTGTAGATGGCTAGATATAATCATCCATTTCTTGACTCGCATCTTTTAAGAACCATCTTCTCTGTTAAATTAACTACATGTTATATCCTTTTTGGCCTCTTCGATTCACATTGATTTATATGGGCCTACCGTAGTGTTCCTATTTACGTTAACGACGGTCCTTCCCATCTCCTTAATCGTGGTTATAGATAATCTTTGTTGCAAAAGGCCTTATCATCTGACCTGTTCTCCCTCAATTTGTCTTGAATGAAGCTACTGCTAACTTTTAAGGATTCACTTATTTCCTTTCCTATCATTTTGTTTGCCATTTTTCTACCCATCTATCTTACTTTCCTAACCAACAATTCTCAATTTTTAGACATGTTTTTCTTCATTGACCAACATTCCAAATAATACTTGTTTGGTTGGATAGGTGTCTTACAAAGTAATCATCCGTTTAGCCATTTTTCAAGTAATCCTCCATTTAGCCATTCTTCTTCGGTTCTCAGAATAACATCCCCATTAATCTCGCTATAACAATATTAATTGATCCTAAGTCCAAAAAATAACCAACCTTACGTATTGGTCATTGATTTGAGTAGTAGGTTTGGTTATCCTAGTCTTTCTAAAGCTAGATTTCATATACTTGGGTTTTCACCCTGCAGATACTAAACACTTCATATAACCAAGCTTTGCTCAGCCTTTTTACTTTTGAAATTATACTTTCTCTTGTCTTATCCACTAATGCAATATCATCAATAGACAATTACATGAAGTCATGAACTATGGTCTTCATCTTGACTGCCTCGTACATTCACCCATCATTGTTTCATGTTTATTTCAAAACTAGTCTTGAATTAGGGATTTGTGGTTATTCCATGTTTAAATGACTAAATGTTACACGTGCAGGCCATTAATAGCTTGAAGAATGTTGAATCTACTGCCTTGTTGCAATTTCTTCAGCCAATTCTTAATATGCTTCTTCATTTGATTGGTGATGGTGGAGAAACCCTTCAGGTTGAGCAATTATTATAATTATAATTTCTTCTAATTTTTATAACTAATTTACATAAATTATGGAACTCTTGAATGATGATTGTTAATTTTTTCATTGAAACTTCATCTGCCTCACATTGTGGAAGCTATTATAATTGTCTCCCTGATCATGTATTTTCTGAACAATTTTATAAGTCTTTGCGTTTTATACCATATATCTTGCAGGTTGCAGCATTTCGAGCCATGGTCAATATTCTGACACGGTAAGCTTCTTGTCATTCATTTCACTTCGTGACACTTTTGTCGATATACAGAACATGGTTGCATTCTGGTTGGTTTCACAATCCACATTTCTACTACTGCAAGGAAGAATAGATTTGACAATATGGATTAAGACCATCAAGAAAACATTGCTTGGAATCATTTGTTGGCTTCACCTGTGGTCTTGAGGTTTTAGGTATAGTTGTTAGGCAACAATACGTCGAATTCCAGTGGGAAGCATTCGACCCCAAGTCCTTCCAAAACCGAAGTCTATCTTGTAGTACAGTTAGTTGGTTTGACTGAGATCTTGTTACTTGAAACTTGAAAGCACATGTGAGAGCTTCTGAGCTAAATCCAACTTTATGGACATGACATGATTGTTAAATGTTGACTAGTCTACAAACAGAAAAACATATGATTGTGATGTTTTACTTGATCAGCACCTTTCAAAGGCAGCATCTTAAAATAGTATGTTAAGCAAGATTATGGTTTGAAACTTCTAAGTTAGTAATGTAATATATTGATTATGATCGAAATAGTGTGGAATCCTTCTATGTCAAGTTTTATTAGGTTTAGGATATTCTACATGGTAAAGCTAAGCAGCTTGTGATCTAAGGCTGTCCATTTTAGAGCCACTTAATGTGCAAGCAAACAGTAGCAAAAGGGGTTAATTGGATCACTGGTCACTTTATTTATCTCATAATTGGACGTTCATGTCTATGTTGTAATTGCTTGGATGACCGTTCATGTAAATAATTACTAATTGGATCATTAGTCACTTCTAACGCTTTCCATCAATTAGAGTTGTATATTTCCATTTATTTCATACAGCTTACTCAATACGTCACAAGTTAATATCTTCAAGAAAAAAAATGCCAAATGCAGTATAATTACCCAATACAAGTCTGATATGTCACAAATCTCATTTCGATTAGTGCTCAAGATATTACAGATAGGAATAAATCTGTCATGTCAAATGATCAAGACATTTTTATGTCAAGTCAATGTGAATCCATTATGTTAATTGGTGGAGAACATTAGATGTGATTAATGATCCAATTTGTACTTAGTTGCATGACCAGCCATCCGAGCAACTAAAACGTAGATATGAATATCCAATTATGAGATAAATATAGTGACCAGTGATCCAATTAACCCATAGCAAAAGCTTTTGAATTTTGTTTTTACACATTTTAAATAACTTTAATCATGTTTAATCATTTGGATCATCACTATTATTTGTAAATAATATACTATTTTGGTGGTAGGATCTCAGCTCAAATCTTATTTGCAAATCAAACTCTCTGTGCCTGTGCGCACTCCTAGTGCTTCGTAACATTTTTTTTTAAATTTTCTTTGCCCATGCAACAAGCAAGCATAAAATGGATTAGTAAAATGGTATTTCATGCTTAGATCTACCCTTGAAGAAATAGCAAATTTGATCCCATGATAAGTTTAATTTAAACACTGTCGGACTAGTTTATATTATGCCACATTCTACACTGTTAAATTAGCAAATTTGTGAGTTGCATGATACCATATTTGTGAGTACCCAAGTCTATTCACAAACAAATACGTACGCATATACATATACATGTACATGTACATACATGTATGTATATTTATATACACGGCCTTTTGTCCTAATGTTCTCAGAACTACCGTGTCTCTGTCTGTCATATATTGTTCATATACATGCTTCTTAAGTGCTTCTGTTATAATCTTTCTTGAGTGATTCCGCTGAAACAGGCTTGCTTTCCTTTTGCAAGCAGATGATTTTATCTTATTGTTTGGACATGATTATTTTATTTTCAAACTTCATCTTAATTGCCAAAATCTCTTTCTTTCTATCTATGTCTTATTGATAATGGATTAATTTTTCTAAATCTAGGGAGTGCATCATGTTACATTGATTCTGAGTGTACTATACTTTCATTCAATATTAAGCTGAAATGCACAATATAGGGTACAACAAGAGTCCTCTGACGGTGCTGATCGGAATCGCTTTCTTGTCAACTATGTTGATTATGCTTTTGATGACTTCGGCGGTCGGCAAGCACCAGTTTATCCTGGTTTGTCGACGGTGTGGGGAAGTCTAGCTCGCAGTAAGGTGAGATAGATTTTCTTCTTCAAGTGGAGCTTCATGAATCTTTTTTTCTTCTTAAGCTTGCAATGCCTTGTTTTGGATTTACGATAAGGATTCTGGTACTTTGTTATGTTGTTGATAATTGATATGATCTGAATGGCATGGATTCAGACGTCAGTTGGCAAAATGGTCATGAATAACCAACACATGATTGTTAAAAAATTTAATTGGGGCGCGACTGGTGAAACCTTCATACATATTTTTGTGTCTATGTTTTTTTGTGCATGCAACCACGTACTTTCATGCAATCTTAGAAATTTTAGCAGTTATAAAAAGAATACTAATTAATGTAGTAATATTGCATAACTTTTTATTTGTCGTAATATAAGAAGTCCTAAAGTAAATAATCTACTGATTCGAATTTAATTACTTTTATATATCTGTTTTGTATCACCATCGGAGCAATTATGCTACTATCTTTTGTAGAATCATGTAACCTGTTGCACCATTTTTTTAACAAAAAACAGGGAGGCCAAAAAAGTGAGTGATAGCTTATATTCCTTGACAGTCTGATATGTGATTTGCAACATGAAGCAACTGTAAATTTATATAATTGTTTTCTTTCTTTTTTTCATCTTAAACTTTCCCCTTTTCTTCTCTTTTACTTTATTTCCTGCTTTACCGTTCTTTCTTTTCCTTTTCTCATGCTCTGTTTATCTGCCCATATACTTCCGTATTTGCTTTCAGCAATCCTAACTCTGAAAGGATCAGTCGACGTTTATGGGTGCAAGCTGATCAGTGTGGAAATATTAGATAGCTGTATCGTCTATATGATAAGTTAATTATCTTCCATCAGAAGTTTATTCCGGTGTTATATTATCCTATGTATAGTGTGATAACTTCAGAGTTCAAATGGTTGATATATTTTACTGTGCCACAGGATCCTTGAAATGATCAGTGTCAATCCACTGCCCTTTTCTATCTCTTTTCTGCTGTATTTTCGTTTTTACCATATTCATGCTACTTGTAGCTCACATCAAAGTTAAGTTCCCCAAGCAATGGCCAAATTCTTTCTTGTATTACATCTGTGATGGTTGTCGAGAACTCAGGTATTTATTGGATCTAGTCTTTAATGGCTTCATAGCAGGTTTGATAGAACATTTCATGTTGTTTCTAGCTCACGGAACCGTTTGAGTTACCAAGAGTGAACATTTACATCCATAATGACCCTTGATGGGTTGGCTATTTTAAATTGATATCTTTTGGAGTTATTGGGGGCTTCACACCAGGCTTTCTTAGGGTATTTTCTCTGGGGAAGATCTGTTGATTTTTTCATGATTTTTAAATTCTAAGAAGTGTTTTTTACTATATTTATATCACTCTTGCGAAAGCGCTGCCTATACCCTTTCTGTCTGACTTCCTTTTTGTCCGCCTACGTCAATATTATAAACCCATCGGTTGAATTGTACCATCATATAGTCCTGTGCTTATGAATATGTAGTTGTGATATTTCCTCTCTGACTTTTTCACTGTAAGCCTGCAACTATCATCTTTGAATCGTCCAACTGACTCTTTAGTGATTCCTTTACGCATTAATTGATTTTTAACACGGTGCTATAGCCTTTATTAAAATGGTAATTACTAATTTTCCTTTACTTGTTGAATGGTTTACTCTTTAAGTTTTTCCCTTCTGTGTTTAATCTGCCAACATCTACAATATTAAGTAGCTGATAGCCTGACTCACATCAGTTTAGTATCTAGCCATGCATGATCTATGAGAGACTGACTTGCACATTTAGAACTTGTGGGCTTCATTTTAAGTCTCCTTCCTCCGATCTCACAAAAATCCCTACCTGGGGAAAAAAGGAAAATCCAAGTAAGCCACATGCTGTTACTGTAGCATTACTTTTTTGAAGGCTTGAAAAATAACAAATAGATCAGTTGGCACAGTATTCTGAAGTTAAATTTCTTTGACTTACATATATTGCATGGGCTAGGGATCACATCTTAATGCAACCACGCAACCTGATTAATTCAGTTGGCTACTAAACTCTCAGAAGAACTTCCTGTCTGATTATATGTATGATCTTTTATCTTACTCATTTTCTTAATACAGGCAAAAGGCTACCGTGTTGGGCCAGTTTATGATGATGTTCTGGCAATGGCATGGTTCTTCTTGGAGCTTATTGTGAAGTCAATGGCACTAGAGCAAAGTCGCCTTTTCTACCACAATCTTCCACTAGGTATATTTACGTAAATAGAGCTTTTGGCTTTTGCTTTCTTTTTCCCTTTTTCTTTTTAATCATAGTGCACACATTTAGTTTTTCTATAAGTTGTAGATGTATTTGATCTAACATAACATCATCATCAAATATTATCAGTCAAAGTTTACTAAGTATATATTTATTTTATTTACTGTAGTGTATACTAAGCATATATTTATTTTATTTACTGTAGTATATACTAAGCAACTAAGTTACTTTTTCTGTTCTTATTTTGGCCGTTCTGTCTTACAATAAGTTCTAAACATTCTAGCTTGTTATAGACAAATGTATTTTTGATGATTAAACTTATATATATGAATACTGTTATCATTGCCTAAAAGTTCCATGCACGCAACCATGCACTTTTATATATGTTGAGCTCCTGCTGGCAATATCTTCATTTATAAACTTTATCTTAGTTAAATGTGATTATGTTTCTGTTTTTTGTTATTATGTAGTGTGTTTTTTTCTCTCTTTATTTTTTTGTTGGGGTGGGGGTTGAGGATTTCCATTGTGGATCTCAAGAGGAAGCTCAGAGATATAGAAGTAAGGAAACCAAAAAAATCGACCCTCTGTGGACAGTCGCATCAGATTTTTTTTCATCTCACAAAATCACTTAATTTCTAAAAATATATTTAATATTGGTGCTATGAGTATTTTCCCAAAAAAATCGATATCATTGCCCATTTGAGATTCAGAACAAAAGCTTTTGTCTAGTGACTTCAAGACAATTTATCTTGGTGTTATGGCTCATGATTTTGCACATGAAACTATACGATGAAGACTGGTGTGGGGAGTGAAAGGAACAAAAGATTCAGAGGCAAGTTTAGATCCATCAAGAGACCTTCGTAGTTTGTAAACTTAAGAATCATAAACTTCACTGTGATGTTCTATCCAGAAAAGCAGAATAACCATCATATTAATCTCGGGTTTTCTTCAAGTCTTTTAGATGCAGATTTTATGATATACCTGTCCTGGAGTGTGATCTGGACCTTAAAAGACTGGATTTGGATATATTTTTTTTGGGATTTTTCCTTTAAACCCAAAGTTTTTCCTTGATTTATATTTAAACCTAAGTACTTCTATTTACACCTGTAAACCCAAAATATCAGTATTTGTCTTTAAACCTAAAATGTGAAATTAATGTATTTATAATGTGTTTGTTTCTCAAAACATGAAC